ATGCCTAAAGGAATGGCTTCTTTGCCACTCCCTTCGATTTCTGAGAGATAAAGCTGTTCACAGGGATTGATCACAGGCTCTTCTATGAGCAGAATGTTGGTGTGGTTGTTAAGTGCCACCGAGTCAGTTCCGACTCATAGCGACCCTATATAGGGTTTCCAAGAAGTAGCTGGTGAATTTGAACCTCTAGCCTTGTGGTTCAAACAGACCTTGTGGTCCAGTGCTTTATACTACAGCACCACCACCAGGGTTCCTTGAGTAGAATGAGGCTTCTAAATGCCAAGGGGCTTCAGGATTCCTGTCACAGGTGTGGGGTATTTGGAACATTCTCTGGAATATCTGCACTACCCTCTGCATCCGGGACACTTTGGTATCTCCTCCCACCCAGTGATCATCATCCCCCTCCCAATGCTTCCAGTCTGCAGTTGTTGTTAGGTGCCGTTGAGTCGGTTCCGACCCATAGAAACCCTGTATAGGGTTTTCGAGGAGTGGCTGGTGAGTTTGAACTGTCGACCTTGAAGTTCAAGCCAACTTTGCAATCCAGTGCATTAACCCACAGCACCACACTAGGACTCCAGTCTGCAGAAGACCTCATTATTCTTTCAGCATCCTCTAGAGTTGCTGGACTGTCTTTGTTTCGGTTGTCTCTCTTGACAGGTGAGGAAACAGACTCACTCATTTGGTATCTGTCACATAGCTCCTAAAGGAAGCTCTGGGATTTGATCCATTAGACCCCAGTTTCTTATTCTACCACAGTGCCGCTGCCCTCAAGCTGTCCATGGCCACTTCCTCAACAATCATGTTTCCATTCCTTTTCTCTCTCTCATCATCCAAGTATCTTACGTAAAGGTCTGGTCTCCTTCCTCAGGAAACTGAAAGGTGGCAATGCCAAGGAAGCAAAAGGAAAGATGAACTAATAGTCAGTTCCTCATTCTCACTAGCCACATTTCAAATGCTCATAACATTGCCCTCTGTGCAGAAAGTCCTGTTGGACAGCATTGACCAGAGGAAATAAGCAATTTCTAATGCCCCTCTCCACCATGCTTCCCCAACCACCTGGCCTCCATGGAAACCCGGGAATGGAGAGTGCTCATGTGTCACCTAGGAACGGCGCAAGCTCCTGGCAGGAATGAGACTGGAGTTCTCTTGGTTTTCTGTGTGCAAGCCTTGCCTTCTAATGAGATACTTAGCTCCTAGGATGCAAGGTCTTTATTTTGTGTCTTCTGCACCCCTGACAGTGACCTGTACAATGTTAGATACAAGGCAGGTCTGTAATGACATGATTGCTGATTTAGAACTGAATTGGTCCAGTTCATAGTCCAGTTGCCTGTGGTCTGGTAGGCCTGGCTTTGCCACAAACTCTTGGTGTGAGTTTCCAAACATCACTGCCTCATGCTGGGCTTCGTTTCTGCTTCCTCAGAGAAACGAGAAGGTTGATCTAGATTAGATAGTCTCAGATGTATTTTATACCACTCTGTTTATGGCTTTAGGAGTCCGAATGTAAATTTCCTAGGTCCAAGCCTGAGGTTGGGGCCCATTCTACCAGCTGGCAGTTCTTAGACCCAAGGCCAGACCCACAGGGATCTGTGTTGTGTGAGGATGCCCTATGATGAGGTTGTGAATGTGAGTATACTGTGAGTGTGTGTGCGCCTGTGTGACTACCCAATACTTGTGCTTTTAATTCTGAATCAAGTTAACAAGCTGGGAAATCCAACATCACTGTTGATCAAGTCCTAACCCCTGGTGCCTGTGAATGTGATTCTGTTTAAAGATGTTGAAGAAGTTGGCATGAGGCCATGGGGTCCCATGTTCTGATACATATACCAACTGCCAGTGAGTCAGTTCTGACTCATAGCGACGCTGTGTAGGGTTTTTGAGGTTGTAAATCTTTACGGAAGTAAAGCCTCATCTTTCTCTTGTGGATCAGCTGGTGGGTTTGAACTGTCGATCTTGTGGTTAGCAGCAGTCCAGTGCTTATCCTACAGCACCACTACATATGGGGTTACAATAAGTTGGAGTGTGTTGGTTTTAACATCATGCAATGTGCCTGGTATCTTTAGAAAGGGAGGAGAAGCGGCACAGAGCTGCAGAGAGGAAGGCAGCCATGTGAAGACGGTACAGCGATTGGTGTTGTTAAAGTTCCGTTCAATCAGTTCCGAATCACAGCGACCCTGTATAGGGTTTCCAAGAAGTGGCTGGCAAGCTTGAACTGCCAACCTTGTGGTTCAAACCGACACTGCAGTCCAGTGCATTAACCCACAGTGCCACGCCAGGATTCTGGCAGCAGTGATTAGAGGGATACATTTACAAGCCAGGGAACACTGGAAGCTAGGGAGAGGCAAGGAAGACATTTCCCCTAGAGTCTTCAGTGAGCACAGCGCTGCTAACTCCCTCAAATTGGGCTTCTGGCCTCCTGATCTGTGAGACAATAAATTCCTGTTGTCTTAAGCCATTCTGTTTGTGGTATTTTCTTATAACAGCCCTGGGAAACTAATACAATTGCCAAGGAAAATACAATTAACTTCAGCTCAGGCCGTGGGAGCTGTGTCTCCAGAACTCATTTTACTTCTTGTTCCTTTTCTTATTCCACAGGTGATTCAATAAGCAAATAAGTTCTGGTGTCTGCAAGGAAGGGCCTCTCTTTGGGGACCATGACTCAGCTCCCAGGACCCAGGCCAGAGGGAATATAGGCTGGCCACGGGAATGTTCTGGAAAGCCAGGCCCTGTTCGCCATGTCTCAGTGACATTCACAGGAACTTCCTTCATCAATCTGCATCTGGCATTGCGGGGAGCATGTGTCTAATCTAGAAACATGGACATGACCAATGACGTAGCTCCTCAGCAAGGAGCTGATAGGGCTGGGGAGGTCCTGGAGCCTGAGGTAGGATGCTGGAAGCTATTCCTGTAACACTACATCTGACAGCGATTTTATTTCACAGGTTAAACACCAGAATGAACCATAACCAGTGTTATAATAAGCAACGGAAGCACAGGTGTACTTGTGTTTATTTACTAATCTATAGTGAATAATTTCACATTTTTCACCACATCAAAGATTCTGCTTGTAGGTCTGGCTGGTATTTGTCTCTCTCCGAACTCCACAGCACCTTCCTATGGAATCAACGTTGCTTTTCAAATTTACCATCTCTAACAAGGAGCTCTGGTAGTGTAGTGGTTACAAATTGGGTTGCGAACCTCAAGGTCAGCAGTTTGAAACTACCAGCTGTTCCGTGGGAGAAAGATGAGGCTTTCTGCTCCCGTAGAGATTTACAGCCTCAGAAACCCTGTACAGGATTGCTATGAGTTGGAACTGACTCCACAGCACATAATCATCACCAATAAGGACAAAGCATCCAATAAACAAGGTAAATCCATGCTTGCTTGTGATTACTTACTACTCTGTAGTCAAACGTTTCACATGTTTTGGATGTGGTAAAAACACATGAAACAGTTTCACTGCAGATTAATAAGTAAGCACAAGTAAACCCATGCGTACCTTGCTTCTTGGTAATCTGTCTGTTGCTGTTAAGTGCCGTCAAGTTGGCTCTGACTTATAGTGACCCTGTATAGGGTTTCCGAGGAGCAGCTTGTTGGGTTTGAACCACTGACCTTATGGTTTGCAGTCTGGTGCTGATCGTACAGCGCCACACCAGGAGTCCAATCTAACCATACTGTAAAAGGTCATGTTGTTGGTGTTATGTGCCGTGGAGTCGGTTCCGACTCATAGTGACCCTGTACAGGGTTTCTGAGGCTATAAATCTTTATGGGAGCAGAAAGCCTCATTTTTCTCCCACGGAACAGCTGGTAGTTTCGAACTGCTGACCTTGTGGTTTGCAGCCCAATTCGTAACCACTATGCTACCAGAGCTCCTTGTAAAAGGTCATGCTCAATGTATTTCTTAATCTAGTCTACCAATAGTGAAAAACTATAAAAGTTTGAGAAAAGGGAAAGGACCCACACAAAGATATGATTAAAAGGTATTGAGAAGGCCGAAAAATTGTTGAAAAATGATAACAGCACATTATTTCCAAAATTAATATCATTAGCAAAAATTGTACCTCTGTGTCCAAGTATCATAAACCAAATTTTGTTTCCTTCCACTACAACTTTATAGAATTTTTAATAAAACAAAACAAAACAAAAAAGGTCATGCTCACCTCTCCCCATCAGGGTGATTGGAGGAAAGGGAGAGAGCTTGGAGTTTTCAGTCAGTCACCATTGCCTCAGAAGCCTGGGAGGCAAAGTCTGGGGAGGGTGGGGTCTTGGAATGGGAGGAAAGGGCTCCAGGACTCATTGGGTGTGTGTGTGTGCAGCAAGTGGTGGGTGCTGCATAGTGTCCTCAGAAGGCTCTTGCTTGGTGGCTTGGCTTCCACCCTCTCTTTAGCTTCAACCTGAGTGTCTAGGATCTCTCTCCCGGAGATTCTTCTCTTACTCCTTCCTCTCCTTTAGTCCTCCTTACAACACTCAGCAAGGAACTTTCCCTTGGAGTGGGGGCAGGTGGTTCTTCCATAGGTCTGTCACACTGGACTGTAATTTTCTGTCTCTTTCTCTAGACTTTGAACAAGGACTTGGTCTTTTTCATCTTAGTATCTTTACTTATGTTAAAGTCTAAGAGACATTACTTGCTTAATGAATAGTTTCCTGAATACACAAACAAATGCATGACATAAACTTCAGTGCCTGCACACATGGGTCCTCCCGGGGCTTATACATGCAAGTATGGCGCCAGGTCCCTGAATCCATACCCTTTGGTTTTCCAACACTTAACAAATCCTTCCACCCTCTGACAGTTTTAGAAGCCTGCTTGCCTTTATGTTGGGTCTTCTTGGCTGGGCTAGGGTATTCAGGAAGGCTGGGAGACGAAGGAGCTGGCCCATCCCTCCTCTTGCCCCCACCTCCTCCCCGCTCCACAGGAAAGCAGACTTCATAGGCTGAGCAAACACAGCTCCACCGGAGCCCACCCCCTTGTCCAGCACCCCTGTTCCTTGTGCCCAGCTCACCTGTCTCTCCCCAGATGGGCAGGTACTCATCTTGCTGAATGTCCAGCATGATCTCTAGTCCGTTGCCTGTCCCTCCTTTGACCGTGGTAAGCAGAGGTTTGCCATCCTCGCCTGAGTTAAACATGTAACACTTCCCATATTTTGTAAACACCTGAAGGAGAGAAGAGGAAGAGAGAGAGGCACATAGGTGACTTAAGATTGGGCTCTTGAAATGCTGAGTCCCCACAACATGTCCCAACAAACCCTTCTTGGGGACCGATGATTCTGTACCCTGGTTATGCCAAGTGGGACTCTGGTATCAAAGAGACACCCTTTGGGGTTTGATGTAATGGGATCTAGTCTCTGGATGATCCTATCCACGTCCAAACATTAAATATCAGCTGTAAACTCTGAACTCCAGGGTACTCCTCCAGCCTACCCATTGCCTCATATGCACATCCTATAGATGTTACTCAGACCCCTGACATTCGCCATGGACCAAAGAGAACAAGTCATCTTCCTTAGCATCTTGGCCCCATCCAACGATTCTCCTGCACTCCTATTTTGGGAACAGCATTGCCACCTGCCAATGTGGTAAGTAAGTCACAGTCCTGTCATCGCTGTCTCTGCCTCGGTCTTGAAGATGGCCTTCACTCACTATGTGTCTTCCAATCATTTCTTGCTGGGGTCTCCTAGCTGAACTCCCTGATTCCAGGCAACGTTTTCCAGCCCTTTCTCTAAAGCTGGCTGTAACTCCCTCTTTTTAAAATGCAAACCTGAACATGCCAATCCTGTACTGAAAATCCTTCAAGGCTACTATCCCTTTACAGCAACAATTCAGACCCTGCTTGGGTCTTCTATGGGGTCCTGGCATGGCCCCGTAGAAGAAGCACTGAACTGCTAACTGCAATGTTGGCAGTTCAAACCCATCAGCTGCTTCTCAGAAACCCTTATCAGGATCGCTATGAGTTGGAACCAACTCGATGACACTTAACAACAACATAGCCTTCTATGGTGCCAGCTCCTCCTGCCTTCTCTCCTACTGCTTCCCACCTAAGTCCACAGGAATCCACTAGGAGGTAAGCCCTGTGAGTTCAAGGACTATGTCTGCTTTCTCACTGATGTATCTAATTCTAGTAGCTAGCACTATGCCAGGCACAGGGTGGTGCTCCAGAAATACTTGTTAAATGAGTGAGTGAGTTAGTGAGTGGAGCCAGAGTCAGCTACTTGATGTGCCCTGCGGGTTCACACACTTGTGGCTTTCCCACACTTTTCTCACACTTTCTTCTTCCTGTAACTTCTCTCTTTCATCTTTCTGCCTGGACAACCTCTTCCAGCTGTTCGCCCAGGTTGAACTGGTGTATCTCCTCCTTCAAAGAGAGTCTTCCTGAGCCCCTAGACTAAGGTGCCCTTTGCTCTCCACAACAGCACCTGTCATGGTGCAGTAGGATGATCCTCTGTCTTTCCTGAACTTGACTCTGCCTTTCATTTCCGAATCCCATCACTTAGTACATTGTCTGACAGACAATAGGAACTCCATAGCCTTTTACAGGATCAAAGCATGAATACAAAGATGCAGCGTGATGCTGAAGAAAGAACCCAGGGCCAGGAATACAGAGATCTTTGCTCAATTTTTGGTGTTGCCACTTACTAGTATGGCTTTGGGTGAACCAAATAAGTCCTCTAGGCCTCAACTTCTCCATCTGTAATATGGGGGTTCTAGTCCTTGTGCTATCTGTTCCTCAAGGTTACTGAGAGGATCAAATGAAGTTATTCATGCAAAAGTGCTTTGAGAACTATAAAAACTTTCTACAAATGCTGTGGGTTATTATGATTACATTACTGCTTGAGAACCTTGAACTGAAGCCAAATTACATCTGGCAAAATTGGTTGGAAGAGAGTCAAGCCAACTGTACTGGATTCTGCTGCCCTGCTGTTTTGGGTCCTGCTTCCCAGCTGTGCTCCACGACACTGCCCTGTCCAGCAGCGGGTGTGTGTGTGTGTGTGTCCCAGAGAGACTGTGGCAGGGAAGGGAAAGAGCACGCTCTGGTGCAGATCTCGATGGCCGATCGTAAGGAAGTGAGTGGTGGTAGTGATGGTGGTGGTGGTGGTGTGCCATGGAGTTGGTTTGGTTCTGACTCATAGGTACCCTGTACAGGGTTCCTGAGGCTGCAAATCTTTATGGGAGTAGAAAGCCTCATCTTTCTCCAGTGGAACAGCTGGGAGTTTTGAACTGCTGACATTGAGGTTAGCAGCCCAATTCGTAACCACTATGCTACTAGAGCCAGGCACTGTGCTGGATGCATAACCAAGGAGTCACATTTAACCTTCACCAATGTGACTGTGGAGTCCTGGTGCGGCGCTGTGGGTTAATACACCAGACTGCAAAGCCGTTTGAACTGCAAGGTTGGTGGTTCAAGCTCACCAGCTGCTCCTCGGAAACCCTATACAGGGTCGCTATGGGTCGGAACCGACTCGTTGGCACTTAACAACAACAATGTGATTGTGGGTATTACTACTCCTATTGTCCATATGAGGAAACCAAGGCCCAGAGTGGGAAATTGACTTGCCTAAGGTCCCACAGACAGTACAAGCAGCTCTGGTGGCACAGTGGTTAAGTGCTCGATAGCTGACCAACAGTTGGGCAGTTCGAACCCACCAGTCACTGCAGGAGAAAGATGTGGAGTCAGCTTCCGTAAAGATTACAGCCCAGGAAGTCTTAGGGGGCAACTCTCCTCTGTCCTTTAGGGTCACCAGGAGTTGGAAACGACTCAGTAGGGTGAAGCTTAACTCTCTCAACTTCATAGTGAGGGAGGGTCGCTGGAACCCATGTGAAGGTGAAAGCAAGCATGGCTTTTCAAAGAGCTGAGTTTTCTCATCTCTATTGCATGTAGTGGAGTCCTGGTATGGCGCTGCAGGGTCAGCACCAGACTACTAACCACCAATAAGAGGTTCAAACCCACCATCTGCTCCTTGAAAACCCTATACCAGGTCGCTATGAGTCAGAACTGAGTCAACAGCATTTAACACAACAGCATTGCATGTTGTAGGCGTTTGTTGTTGTTGTTGCTGTTTTGTCTTTGGTGCTTCCCGCCTCCCCCCAGTGTAGATCCAATCACGTCTGGTCAAACTGGAATATGGCCCCCCCTGTCTTATAAACTACTGGAGACTCGGGCGCTGACCTGCACAATCTCTGCTGCCCAGAATCTAGCACAGTGCCTGGTACACAAGTTTGGAAAACATTTATACAGTGAATAAAAATCATCATGGTAATATCAATAAAAAACAGTCACTTGAAATTCTTACTCAGTATTAAACACAGGGCTGAGTCTTTGCCAAAACTCTTAATCCTCACTAAAGCTCTGAGGTAGGTACTATTATTCAGTTCATTTTGCAGGTGGGCAGATGGATGCTCAGAAAGGTGAGATAACTTTCTCAAGGCCACCTAGCTATGAAGCAACAACACGAATCAGGGCTTAGCCCAGGATTCACATCCCAGTGTCCCTGCTTCAGATCTAACCCTTAACCCTAACACATCATGTAACACTGCTCGGACCTCCCCCTCGCTTTAACTGGCAAGTTGCCCTAGGACCAGAATTGGCTTCATGACCTCTCTGTGGTGACTAGCCCAGGGGCTAGGACATAATGGAGGGTAAATCAATGCTGAGTGAATTGTCACTCAGGAAGCTTGGTGACACAGCGCTCAGCTGCTAAAGGAAAAGTGAGCAGTTTCAAACCCATCAGCCGCTCCTCGGGGGAATGATGTGCAGTCTGCCTCCATAAAGATTTACAGCCTTGGAAACCTGAGAGTTGTGCACTCTCAGTTGAAATAGATTCAATGGCAGTGGGTGGATATGTGTGTGTGTGTATTAAATGTTTATTAAAGGGCTTGTGTGGATATGTTATATATACAGGTGCATACACACATATATACATAGTGTAGTGGTTACAAATCGGGCTGCTAACCTCAGGGTCAGCAGTTTGAAACTACCAGCTGTTCCTTGGGAGAAAGATGAGGCTTTCTGCTCCTGTAAAGATTTACAGCCTCGGAAAAGCTGTACAGGGTCGCTATGAGTCTGAACTGACTCCATGGCATCTAATAACAACAACTGTGTGTGTGTATATAATATACATATATATATATACACATCTCATGGAGAATTCTAGAGAAACATCCTAGGTGACCAGGTGGTGGCTCCTGCTGGAACTCTAGGTGGCAGCCGGATCGTTTCTGCCCCTTTTCCTCCAGGTGGGGTGTTAGCATAAGTTTACAAACTTCCAGGTGTGAGCTGATACATCAGACCTTGTTCAGGTGTGGTGGTGGGGATGAGGAGGGTGACTGCAGCCACGTCTGAATGACAGCCCAGGGACAGGTGGGGATAGCTAAATTCTTTAGTCCAGCCCACTGGGAAGAGTCTTAATTCTCATGTGGTGTCCTGTTTCCTTTAGAAGAAAATCCCAAAGCCCCCCATGACATAGCCCATGCCTCCTACTGGCCCCCTCAGTTCCTGGGCTGTACAACAAGCTTTCTACCCCTGCAAGGTCTTTCCACGCACCCTGTCCACTGCCCAGAACGTTCTCTCTCTTCACTTGGCCTCACCTTAATAAGAGCCACTTCCCCACCCTTGTTTTACAACTTCACAGTCTTATTCTTTCTCCTTTATTGTTGTTGCTGCTGTCGTTAAATGCCACCAAGTTGGTTCTGATCCATAGGGATCCTGTATAGGGTTTCTGAGGAGCATCTGGTTAGTTTGAACTGCTGATCAAATTGACTGTTCAAATTGACTTCGCAGTCCAGTGCATTAGCGCACAGCACCACACCAGGACTCCATAGAGTGTATATCCAAGTGTGTAGCTATATAGTTATTTATGTTATTATTTTCTAGACATGCCTTTCACAAGGGCAGGGACTGTGTTTCACTAAATGAATGAATGAATGAATGAACGAATGAATGAATGAATGAATGAATGGGATCCACATGCTCTTGCCCTTTCTGGGAGGTGACACTGTAGTGTCTAAGGCCTACAAATATGGAATGGGGAATGCTGTGGCTCTGTAGGATAAGCATTGGACTGTTAATGACAATGTCAGCAGTTCAAGCCTACCAGCTGCATCATGGGAGAAAGAGGAGGCTTTCTGCTCCTGCTAAGATGTATAGCCTTGGAAACCCC